GATTCTCTAGGTATGCCGGGGCCGGGGAGAGGTGCTTCAGTTACTTCTACCAGCCTAGTAATTAATTGAGAAGCTTCTTGAACTGAAAGGCCTTCTTCGGCGGGTATCTGCCTTCGGGATCGAGTACGCTTTTACTTCTGCTTCTCGTTAGCGGCGCGTAATTCCTTATTTTCTTTAGCGAGTAAGATAGCCCCTTATATTATAAGACGGAAGCCTATAAAAGGTGAGAGGAGTGAGGAGGTATATATATCGGTATTACCTTATTTTACTTATAAATCTCATCGAATTTCGGGGTTAAATGGCTTCTATGTCCGTTTAGTATTAAAAGTCGATACCCCCCTTTATACGTGAAGAAGTCATCGGAATAAATAGCTTTTCGAGCTAGCGAACTCTAATTTTATTAGAGGTCTAACCATTCGGACTAACTTTAAATCGCTAGTTATCCGGAAGGCTATCGAACTAAGATTCGAGGAAGACTTTACCTTTAAAAATCACACACGGAGGGAGGGCCTACCCCGAAGCATTCGTACACTAAATAATAGTCACTTATTCACGATTTCTAGGCTATAAAAGCGAGTGCCGACTAGGGAGACCACTCCTTATAACCAACCACCTTCGCTATAGTAATTAACCCTATCGCGAAACTAGTCTCGTCGAAGTTATAAACGTTATTAGGGTCGATTCTAAATTAAAGGATTAGTTTTTAAATAAGATCGAACCACCATTAAATGATTTTTAGGTCTTTATATATCTCACGTTTATAATTATAGCGTCTTAAGAATTAGGAGGAGAGGAGAGGGTGTCGTTTTACGAAGTTATAAACCCATTTTTCGCCGACCAAAATAACTGGGGTGGTTAATAGAGGTTATGGAGGAATCTCTTCGAAAATAGATTCTCTCTATAGATTCTCGTGGAGTAGCCCCCCGCCCTACTAGTATATAAGAAATGGCGAATCTTCTCCTTAAATAGCGTAAAACTACCCCGGTTCTTTCGGTCGGTGAAAATAGGTTATAAAGTTTATTAAGAGGCATCCTCTCTTATCCTCCTAGTTTTTAAAATGATATAATTATAAGCGTGTAAAATACGAAGACCTAAAAATATTTAGGGAGTGGTTTAATCTTATTTAAAAAACTATCCTTTAATTTAGAATCGACCCTAATAACGTTTATAAATTTAATAAGACCGGTTTCGTAATAGGGTTAATCGCTATAGTAAAGGTGATTATAAGGAGTGATCCCTCTAGTTAGCGCTCACTTTTATAACCTAGAAATCGTGAATAGGTGACTATTATTAAGTGTACGAATGCTTTAGGGTAGGCCCTCCCTCCGTGTATAATTTTTTAAAGGTAAAGTCTTCCTCGAATCTTAGCTCGATAGCCTTCTAGATAACTAGCGGTTTAAAGTTAGTCTAAACGGTTAGATCTCTAATAAAATTAGACTTCGCTAGCTCGAAAAGCTCTTTCTTCTAATGACTTCCTTATATACGAAGGGGAGGTATCGGCCTCTAATACCTAATAATCACGGAAGCTATCTAACCCCTAAATTTAATAAAATATACGAGAAAAATTAGATTATACTAATATATATACCTCTGCACTCCTCTCACCTTTTATAACCACCTCTGCACTCCTCTTATCTTTTATAGCCTCTTAATATGGGCTGTTTTATAGTGTTAAAACGATCATATAATCGGCTAGTTAAGATAAAAATGCGGAATAGGATTAACTATATCGATAAACTTAACTTCCTCGAAGCGTACCCCCTCGCACGAACTAAAGCTTTTAAACCAGAGACTATTAAAAATAGCTTCGGAGCAGCTAAATAATACCTTTCATACCTAATCGAGTGATCTTAAAGCTAAATTTTCGCCTTCGTACAATAACCCCCCCCTCCGAGCCGGGGGAGCGAATTAAGCCGGAATTTTACACTAAAAACACTAGCTATAGAGAAAGAACTACGTCGATAGGCTTCGTTAATTAAAGCTTTACTTCGTATAAGATCTCGAAGTCCACCTAGCCCGTCAGATCGTGCATTAAACTAGCTTATAAATGGCTTCCGTCTTATAATATAAGGGGCTATCTTACTCGCTAAAGAAAACCAGAAACTACGCGCTAAAAACGAGAATGAAGTAAAAGCGCACCCGATCTAGAAGGCATATATACCTTCCGAAGAAGGTCACTTTTAGTTTAAGAAGCCTCTGCTTTAATTTTATAGACGGGGGAAGTAAGTGAAGCACCTCCCCCGGGTCCCAGTATGCCTAGAGAATCGGCTATTCAGCCACGTACGCGCCCCCCCCCCCCACCAGGGCATAGAAGAGAAACATGTCTAGATAGACTAATTACTAGTTAAATAAATTTAATGAGGTTTTGGTTAAGATAAATGCGTCTAAAAATGGCAGGTTAGGTTAGGTGGCTCACTCGCTGGTGTAGCCCACTCACTAGTGAAATACGTTAGATCTATCTTAATACCGTTAGGTCTATTATCCTTTTCTTCCTTTACTACTTTAATCTTATTAAGAGAAAAGAATCTTTTAAGCTCCTTTATCTCCCGCTCTTTAATATTGAACCTTAGTATTAAACCTTAAAGTATAAAGAAATATTATTAGCTCGTTAATCGTTTTAGACTTTATCTAACTATAGCGATAATAATAGATATCCTAAGTAGTATTAAAAAGTCGCTTAGTGCTAGTACTAGTTACTAGAATTAAGAGAAGATCTTATATGAGTAGAGCGATAGTAGGAAAGCGACCTTAGTACTCTTTCTAGAATTAAAGAGGCTTAGCGTTAATAATACCTAAGGTATAATTAGTATTATAACCGTGCTAAGCGCCTAAACACACAGCGGTATGTGTTTAGTGCGCCCTATATTATTATAATCTTTTATAGGATCATAATTTTTCGCTATCGAAGTAACTTCTTATATGATTGTATGCTAACGTATTTCACAAGCGAGTGGGCCACACAAGCGAGTGGGCCACCTAACCCAAAACGCGTCCCTCAATTTGCACTTAATTAATTCAACCACCCACTATGCCACCAATTCGCTCTCAAACCTCTCAAAAATCAATAGAGTAAGAGGGTAGGGTATTATTAGCTATCCAGGCTATAAAAACCCAGCTAAAGCTCTCTCTTCGTGAAGCAGCGCGCCATTTTGAAGTCCCTAGAAGCACTCTCTAACGCCGTCTACAGCATATCCCCCACCGCGCGATTTCACGCGTAAATTCTCATAAATTAACATAAACTAAGGAGGAATCTCTTTAAAAATGGATTCTCTCTATGGATTCTCGTGGAGTAGCTCCCCGTCCTACCTCCGTACGAGAAATGGCCGATATACTACTTTAACGTCGTGGAATTACCCCAGCTCCTTCAGTTAGCTATAACTAGGTGATAAACTTTATTAACCGGCATCCCTATATCTCCTCCCGATTCTTAAGACGCTACGATTACTAACGCGCGAAGTGCGAAGAGCCGAAGATCATTTCTGAATGGTTCGATCTTATCTAAAAAACAGTCCTTTAATTTAGGATCGATCCTAACGATATTTATAACTTTAATGAGACTAGATTCGCCATAGGATTAATTATCACAGTAAAGATAATCACGAGTAATAAATACCACGGTCGGCGGTCGCTTTTATAACCTAGAAATCGTGAGTGGGTGACTACTATCGAGTGTATAGGCGCGTCTAGTTAGGCCCTCCCCCCGTGTATTATTTTTAAAGGTAAAGTCTACTTAGAATCATGGTTTAAAGGCCTACTAAACGACTAGCGAATTAAAGTTAGTCCTAATGGTTAGACTTCAGATGAAATTAGACTTCGTTAGCTTAAAAAACTCTTCATTCCTTATACTTCTACGCGTACGAAGGGGAGATATAGGCTTCTAGTTCTTAACGGACATAGAAGCCATTTAACCCCTAAATTCGATGAAATTTATGAGTAAAATCAGGTTATACTAATTTATATGCCTATATATTCCTCTCATCTTTTATAACCCTTAGATATCGGTTATTTTACCGTGTTAAAGCGATCTTATGGTCGGCTGGTGGAGTTAAAAATGAGAAGTAGACTTAACTATATCGATAAACTTAACTTCCTTAAAGCATACCCTATGGCACGAATGGAGGCGTTTAAATTAGAGACTATTAAGAATAGCTTTAAAGCTGCTAGTTTAGTGCCTTTTACACCTAATTAAGTGATATTAAAGCTCGATATTTAACTTCGAACCCTAACCCCCCCCCCCCCCCCCCCCCCTAGTAGGGGGGAGTGATTTAAGCCGGAATTTTACTCTAAAAACGCCTTCTACCGAGAAAGAACTACGTCGATAGGCTTCATTAATTAAAGCTTTACTTCATAAAGGCTCTTAAAGTCCACTAAGCCCATCAAATCGTGCATTAAACCAGCTGGTGAAAGGGTTCCGTCTTTTAATGCAAGGTGTTATTTTACTAGCTGAAGAAAATAAGGTTTTACGGGCTGAAAACGAGAAGCAGAAGCAAAAACGGACTAGGTCCCGAAGGCAGATACCCTCCGAGGAAGGTCTCTCAGTTAAAGAAGCCTCTGCATTAATTATGCAGCAACAAGAAGTAAGTAAAGCACCTCTCCCCGGCCCCGGCATGCCTAGAGAATCGACTATTCAGCCACGTACGCGGCCCCCCCCCCCCCGGGGGGGTGTGGAATATGCAGATTGCCAGGGCATAGAAGAGAAACATGTCCAGATAGACCAGTTAGTTAGTTAAATTAATTTAATGGTGTTTTCGTCGAGAAAAGTATAGTTGAATTCAATGGGTTTAGTTAGGTGGCCCACTCGCTTGTGTGGCCCACTCGCTTGTGAAATACGTTATATAATAATGTTAAATTAAAGTAAAACTATCGAGAAACGAACCTAGGAGGCAGTTAAAGCCTTTTATGATTCCACTAAGCCTAATCTCGCTAAATTAGCCTAGGATTTTAACGTTTTGTACTAAATTCCGACCGCGTAAAAATAGCTAGATCATTATCTAATTCAGGAAAAGGCATTAGTTTCTTTGGTTAAAAACCTAGATAAAGCCTATACTGAACCTACCCCTAATCATATACGAACGGCCGCTGGTCGTCTATTAAAAATGTCGGGTTCGGATTATGTTATCAGCTATAAATAGGTATACCGTTTCCTTAAAGGATTACCCCCTTAGATTAACTATATTAACTAAAAACTAAAGAAAAAAGTGAGTATTAATGGCGAGTAATTTAGCCCTTTATTCCTTTAGTATAATAGCCTATCCCGGGTTATAATAAAACTGCATTAAATCCTACCTCATAAGGTCTATAACTAGGACAAAACTACCTTTTAAATCGGCTAAGGGAAATAACGTAAGGTTATTACTAGTCGTCCTACTAGTTAACGTATTTCACAAGCGGCCCGGCCACACAAGCGGTCCGGCCACCCCAAAACATATAGTAAATGCGATATTTTTTAAACTTAAATCTCAATAACCATGTCTATATATGATCTCTATGCTTATTGATAGCTATCGATAGGGATTATCGGTAGTATACATTAATCTCAAAGAAGCTAGAAGGCTATTTTATTGTCATTTCGAAAATGACCAGAAATCACGGTGCAAAAAGCTAGAAATATATATATCTTAATCGTTAAAAGATATTTATTTCTAGTACCCCGTAAAGAGTCTATATACCATCTAAAAAGCACTAAGCAATACGTAAAACTCTCCACAACCTACCGTTATTAAGATATTAAGTTATAATTTATCGCATTTACTATGTGTTTTGGGGTGGCTGGACCGCTTATGTGGCCGGGCCGCCTGTGAAATACGTTAGCTAGTGGCTAAGCAAAGTTAATTACTACTATTAAATGCATTACTGCTGATAGCTAGGCTATGCTACCCTGGTTTTTACTAAAGGGTAGCATGCATATAGAGGAGTGGTATGAAAATATCACTACGCCTAAGGGCTGGATTAATGATAAAACAGCCCTCTAATGGCTTTTTTTCTTTTTACAAAGCTATTTCTCGAGTTTAAAAGGGGAGGCCTCGCCTTCTTCTCATGAATAATCATGGTTCCCATAAAATAATCGATTTTATCGATTTTTATACCGAGAAAAATATTATTCCGATATATTTCCTACCCCATATAACTCACCTCTGTTAACCCTCGATGTTTAAGCTTTCTAGTGCCTAAAACATTGGTTTCGTACGACTAATAATAAGATAATTATGTCGGGTATAAGTGCTAACCGGCCCTTACATTTTGTACCAAAATTACAGACCCTCGTAAGCGAGGGTCCGCCACCCATTTGCAAAGGAACACCTAAATGCAATATTTTCATACCTTTTACTTTAACCACCATTTACTATCTTATAACGTAGTATATTAATTAATTAAAAATAGTAAAGAAATCAATTAGCCATTTAATTACTAGAATATAAAAAAGAATCACTTCTCCCGGCGTTTCTTTGCCCCACTATGCTTCCTAATTTTAACTAATACCTTCTTCCACTTCCGCCTTATTTTTTCTTAATCCATCTTTTCACTTAATTTAAACTCTTTTCTTTTTATCTCTTTAACTTAGGATGAATTAATGATTCCGGTGATCTATGTATAACGACGAGAAGCATCGTACCGGGCGTGGCGAGCACCCATAATAGCTTATGTTAAATCGAATTCCTGCTGTAGCTAGTAAGCTAATGTAGCTTACGCTTCAGCCCCCTTTTAAAGCTTCATTAAGGCATTTTTAAAGCGCTAAGTATCTGGATCATACTAATTAAGCCGGTAACTAATCCTAATCACTTTCTCAGTGGTTTTTAGAGTGCTAAACTCAGTGTTTTATTAAGGTGGTTAAGGGTGTATTCGACTAGGGTAAATTATCATAATATGGATCGTACGACTCTAATTTATCCGTAATAAGCTTAGGATTAATAGGCCAGAGGCTAGTTAATTTAAATCTAAGCTTTATTATATTCGACCGGAAGGTTTTCCGTCTGATTTCTCTAATTAAGTGTAGAAATTTATCCTTAGAGAATTTACGGCATCTAGTCATTATAGCAGCTTCTACAGCCTCACTATGCCAGTGTTTATATAAGCTAAACACGCCGACATCGAGAGGCTGTAGTATATGACTAGTATGCGAGAGTAAGAAGAATAATAATATAATATCATTCTTCTCATAAAATCGGATAAATTAGCGCGTTAAATGCGAACTAAAACGGTCGCATAAAATTAGCCTTTTTCTTCTAAGTGTACGACTAACCGTCTACTTATAAAAGAGCTGAATCCATTAATATGCTAAGGTATCGTTAATATAGCCAGTATCGGTTATAGCTATATGCTCATCCTCCTAGATAGTATTAAACTAACGTAGTAACGTATTTCACTACCGAGTGGGCCACCCCATCTAACCTACCAATTTTAAATGCATTTATCTCAACCAAAACGCCATTAAATTAATTCAACTAACTAAGTGGTCTATCTGGACATGTTTCTCTTCTATGCCCTGGCAATCTACATATTCCACACCCCCGGGGGGCCGCGTACGTGGCTGAATAGCCGATTCTCTAGGTATGCCGGGGCCGGGGAGAGGTGCTTTAGTTACTTCTACTAGCCTAGTAATTAATTGAGTAGTAATTAATTGAGAAGCTTCTTAAACTGAAAGGCCTTCTTCGGCGGGTATCTGCTTTCGGGATCGAGTACGCTTTTGCTTCTGCTTCTCGTTAGCGGCGCGTAATTCCTTATTTTCTTTAGCGAGTAAGATAGCACCTTACATTATAAGACGGAAGCCTTTCATAAGCTGGTTTAATGCACGATCTAATGGGCTAGGCGGACTTCGAGATCTTATACGAAGTAAAGCTTTGATTAACGAAGCCTATCGACGTAGTTCTTTCTCTATAGTAGGTGTTTTTAGTGTAAAATTCCGACTCGATTCGCTCCCCCGGCTCGGAGGGGGGGGTCGGTTTTCGAAGACGAATATCTAGCTTCGAGATCACTTGGTCGGGTGTAAAAGGTACTAAGCCAGCTGCTCCGAAGCTATTTTTAATAGTCTCTGATTTAAAGGCTTTAATTCGTGCGAGGGGGTATACTTCGAGGAAGTTAAGCTTATCGATATGGTTAATCCCGTTCCGCATTTTAGTTTTAACTATCCGACTGTACGATCGTTTTAATACCGTAAAATAGCTAATATCTAGAGGTTATAAAAGATGAGATAAATGTGCTGGCATATAGATTAGTATCACCTTATTTTACTCATAAATTTCGTTAAATTTAGGCGTTAAATGACTTCCGTGGCCGTTAAGTACTAGTAGCCGATACTCCCCCTTCGTACGCGCAGAAGTACTAGGAATAAAGAGCTTTTCTAGCTAACGGAGTCTAATTTCATTAGAGGTCCAGCCGTTAGGGCTTACTTCGAAACGCTAGTTCTCCGGAAGGCCTTCGAACCATGATTTAAGAAAGACTTTACCTTTAAAAATCACACACGGAGGGAGGGCCTAACCTAAAGCATTCGTACACTTAATTATAGTCACCTATTCACGATTTCTAGGTTATAAAACTGCTCTTCGACTAGGTAAATCACTTCTCGTGATAACCTTTATAGTTAAAATCACTCCTATAGCGAAACCGGTCTTATCGAAGTTATAGATATCGTCGGGGTCGATTCTAAATTAAAGGATTATCTTTTAAACCAGATTAAACCACTCTTAAATGATTTTCGGGTCTTTATATTTCGCACGCTCGTAGTTATACCGTTTTAAGAATCGGGAGGAGAGGAGAGGATACCGTTATATAAATTTCGTAACCTAGTTTTCGCTAACCGAAAGAACCGGGGTAGTTCCACGCTTTTAAAGAAGAAGATCCGCCATTTCTCGTACTATAGAGTGCTAGGGGGCCCCTCCACGAGAATCCATAGAGTATCTATTTTTAAAGAGATTCCTCCTCGAGTTCTGTTAATATATGACTATTAGCGCGTGTTTTAGGACGAAAGGTATCACCAGCGAGGCGGCGTTATAAGGTAGAGCGGGGGACTTCGAAACGGCGTGCCACTTCACGAATTAAAGAGATTTCTTGATTCTTAAAAGCCTGGATAGCTAGTAAGATCCTACCCTCTTGCTCTATTGAATTTCTAGAGCGTTAAGAGCGAATTAGTGGCATGGTGGGTGGTTGAAGAAGAAGGGGTTAAATTAATTAACGCGTTTTGGATAGGTGGCCCACTCGGTGGTGGTGGCCCACTCGGTAGTGAAATACGTTAATGCCTGTTTTACACTTAGGATTATAAGTAGCGGGCAGGTAAAACCATCGGCCGAAACAGCCTCTAAAACCGTGATAGACTCGCGATTTATGATAGATCCATTAAATAGCTTCTTTTTTAGATGCCTAGTAATGATGAATTAATCGTAACCGACGCTAATTTAGAAGCCAGTTTCGTCGAAATTATAGATATCTTAATAGCATATACCATGCTCAGTCACCACACGTTAATAGTCTTAAAACTATCTCTCTACCACGGTTTTATTAAGTGCACTAGCCCTTTCGACATTAAGGGCTCGCCGGCGTCGTACATAGTACTTAGGATTACGTTTAAGAAAACGCTTTAGCTAGTGGTCGCCGATTTATGGTAGTGGAGTGGTAGAATCGGTATGGTCTTCGAGAATTAAATTAGTAGTAATAGTAATTTATCGGCGATTTATTAATGCTCTAACCGTGTTAAAGTAATTAATATAATCACATAAAGCCTGCTCCTATATAGGATTAAGCTTCCGGCCATTAGGTTATCGTTAAAAAAGTGATTTTCCACCTTACCATCGCCGGCGTAGTCGGTGCATGGGAACCGCGAATTCTCGCGCAGTTTTCGAGATATTCGCCTTTATCTGCTTAGATAGAGAATCGAGAGCTAGCTGAATCTGTTGCTCTATATCTTTATTGGTTTTAGGCATTTTTGGTGGTGTGGTTAGTGGTCAAAATAAAAGGTTAGGATTTAAAAGAATATTTGCATTTAGGTGATCCTTTGTAAATGGGTGGCGGACCCTCGCTTACGAGGGTCTGTAATTTTGGTACAAAATGTAAGGGCCGGTTAGTAAAAAGAGGGATTTTTTCAGGATTTATCTAAGGGGTTTGAGAGTAAGCATTTACTTAAAGAACCATTAGACCCTCTTTTAAATCTAGGGGTATTTATCCCCTAGATCCAGAGGTTATTGTTAGTCCCTTACGTTAATAGGCTCTCGAATCAGAAGGGTTCCCCCATTAGGACTTTCACTCTAACCCCCCTCCCCCGCGGATATATTAAGTTTGGTTACTGACTCGCCGCTAGATACAGTTTAGCGGGTTAATAAGCTTAATGCTAAGCTTATTAGTTATATTAAGTAAATTAAGCACCGATCTAAGCGCGTGAAACGGTATATCCAGCGAAGCATAGAAGTAAATACCCTTTTATCCCAGTAACTAGATCTCACTAAGGAGAGTGAGTCTAAAGAAGTCCTAAACCTATAAAGCGGATTTAAATAAACTAAGAAATAGGAAATCCATTCTTAGTACCCTGAACTCGATACTATCTCCTATATGTGTAAATAGAATGATAGTAAAAAGGTAACACGCTAAAACTAAGAAGTTAATTCGTCTATAAGACAGGCTATGACCTTTAAAGCTTAATCGTAGGCCAAATTAGCTAGGGATATAATTAGAATCTAGTACGAAGCTTTAATGGCTATAAGAGATAGTAATAGTGTAAATTAGTATATTGATACTACTGGGGGTTACCTATAAATAGTGGTTATTATATGTTAATAATTTAAAATTTATGATCCTATGCATTTTTGTGATCCTATGGGGGCCCACTGATACTACCTAGGTATAAGAGATCTTATAACTCTATCGCTTTATATTAGCCTAGCCTAATATTAATTATCTTTTAGTCTTTTTAGCCTAAGTAGTATTATTTAAAGGGACTACTTTTAGATAATCTAGAAGCTAGTTAAGACTAAGCTGGGTAATATAAGTAAGGTAAGGGGTTTAGATAATACAGTAAAACCGGTTTATAACGATACCGGATAAAACGATAACCCGGCTATAGTGATCGGAATTCGGTGTTTAAATTAATCCGCCATATAATTATCGCTAAAACCTCCTTTTATACCATTATCGTATTTTTATCATATTTATATGCAAAAAATTCGGTATACCTAGGGCTTTAATAAGCATTATTAACCAATAAAAATGCCTCGTCGGTCTATCTAAACCTCCTAAAATATCTCTCTTCGACAGTATCACCGAAACCACCCCTTACTTACGCATAAGCAGTTAGTTAATTAGTTCCACGAGACTTATAATCATCGTATTTCTTAATCTATAGTCTCTGAAATCCTTTCCCCCCGATACCTTTTTACCTTAACGCCGAGCTCTCGAAGCACTAATTAAATGCGAAGCGCGCTCGTTTAGCGCAGTGGCCAGACCTTAAAAGGGCCCTTATTCATTATATAAAACTTACTAAAAACCATATTCCTATAACCTAAGAGGTTATACGTGAAAAAGCGCGATTTTTCTGGAGCTAGCTAGCTACCTATTTATATAGGTGTTAAAATGCCTACTTTTAGTAATGGCTGGCTTACTGGATTTTATTTAGTAGCGTGAATCAGTACGTAATCGTTTATACTATGGTGAAGATAGAAGCACCCCGGAGCTTACTTCTCAAGCTATGATTCTAATTCGTTAAGCTCTTTAATTATATAGCCCTCGGGATATATTTAATTATAACGAAATCGGCCTTTTTTTAGAAGCGTATCCCTGACCGAGGCCTTTTAACCCGATCTCTGCCTGGAAGAAAGAAGCAGAAGACTATTAATAATCTTAATTTACGCTGGAACTCGAATAGTAAGGCCTAGATAATAAGTCAGATCTTTAAAGAGTGGCTTCGGTGGTTTAACGCTATAATGATCCATAAGGTAGTACTTCTTATGGATAATTTCTTAGCGCACGAATCTACAGTAAAAGCTATTAATAATAGCTCTTTACCACTGTAGAATACCTTAGTTATATAGCTTCCACTAAACTTAACTTCTCGGTTTCAGCCACTTAATTAAGGTATTATTAATACATAGAAAGCATATTCGAAGCGCTAATGGATTAAATTTATACTCTATGAGTTTAATGGGGGTCGAGATCCTATGGTTTTAATGAATGTGCTAAGAGCGATTTAATGGAGTATTTAAGCTTAGGATCTTAATATATTAATTAGCTCTTATAATTAAGAACTGCTTCTAAAAAGCACTCTTAATATCACTTAATATTCCTGATACTACTACTAGTAGTATTTAGTCGCTAGCTAATGAGATATCTTCTGATATACTTATAATGCGGCCTTGTGTACTAAGCCTAATGGATATTAAGAACTTTCTTAACCCAGTTAATGAGCTTATAGAAGATAGTATTAATGCTATTAATGATATTATGCTAAGCGAGTTCCTTAGAGAGGTTAACGAGGATGATGTAGTGGTTAAAGAGCCCTATATTTAACACTATGAAGCTATTTAAGCTTTAAAACCCCTTTAATTATATTAAGAGCAGCAGGAATAAGGTGATCCTGAGTTTATTACTGCTCTTCATAAACATAAGAGGTTAATTAAAGTAAGGAAAGTAGGAAGGCAGATGCAGAGCGATATTAGGAGCTTTTTTAGTGCCTGGATCTGTATATAAACCAGAAAATATATTCAATGTATAGGACCTCGATTTTACGATTACCTAGGTATAGCGATATTTCTTCCGTGTCTATATTATATCGTTATAATTAGGGTTTAATTAGGGTTTACTGTATTTATATGATTAGGTAAAGCTTACTAACGTATTTCACCCCCAAGTGGCGCACACCCCCAAGTGACGCACCCCATCTAACCCATTAAATTTAAATGCATTTATCTCAACCATGAAGCCATTAAATTAATTCAACTAACTGAATGGCCTATCTAGACATGTCTCTCTTCTGTGTCCTGGCTTCCTACATATTCCACACCCCCGGGGGGGCCGCGTACGTGGCTGAATAGCCGATTCTCTAGGTATGCTAGGGCCGGGGGGAGGTCCTTTAGTTACCTCCTGTTACTGCATAATTAATGCAGAGGCTCCTTAAACTAAGAGGCCTTCTTCGCCGGGTATCTGCCTTCGAGATCGAGTGCGCTTTTACTTCTGCTTCTCGTTAGCGGCGCGTAATTCCTTATTTTCTTAGGCGAGTAAGATAGCACCTTATATTATAAGACGGAAGCCTTTTATAAGCTAGTTTAATGCACGATCTAACGGGCTAGGCGGGCTTCGAGATCTTATACGAAGTAAAGCTTTAATTAATGAAGCTTATCGACGTAGTTCTTTCTCTGTAGCTAGTGTTTTTAGCGTAAAATTTCGACTTAATTCACTCCCCCGACTTAGGGGGGGGGGGGTAGGGGTTCGAAGTCGAAATTAAGCTTCGAAATCACTTAATTAGGTATAAAAGGTACTAAACCAGCAGCTTTAAAGCTATTAATAATAGTCTCCGATTTAAAAGCTTTAGCTCGTATAAGGGGGTATGCTTCGAGGAAGTTAAGTTTATTAATATGATTAATCCCGTTCCGCATCTTAGTTTTAACCATCCGACCGTACGATCGTTTTAATACCGTAAAACAGCCCACATTAAGAGGTTATAAAAGATATAATAAATGCGCTGGCATATAGATTAGTATCACTTTATTTCGCTCATAAATTTCGTCGAATTTAGGTGTTAAATGACTTCCGTGGCCGTTAAGTATTAAAAGCCGATACCGTCCCTTCGTACGTAAAGAAGTCGAAGGAATAAAGAGCTTTTTAAGCTAACGAAGTCCGATTTTATCAGAGGTCTAGCCGTTAGGACTAACTTCGAAACGCTAATCCTCTGGGAGGCCGTTAAACTATGATTTAATAAAGACTTTACCTTTAAAAATCATACACGAAGGAAGGGCCTAGCTAGAAGCATTCGTACATTTAACCACTATCACCTATTCACGATTTCTAGGTTATAAAACCGGCCTCCGACTATAGTATTCACTCCTCGTGATAACCTTCGTAGTTATAGTTAATCCTATCGCGAAACTAGTCTCGTTAAAGTTATAGATATTATCGGGATTAGACCTTGCCAACTCCCATGGGACTAAGAAAATTTTGGTCCCATATCCTGGTCCCATCTACTCCCATGGGACTAAAAAAATTCCGGTCCCATTACCCTAGTAGTCCCATGGGGGTCCCATGGGAGTTATGGGACTCCCATATGGTCCCACGCTAGCATAATTTTGCCAAGGATTTCCTATTTCAGCTGCACAAAACTGCAAAGTAATCAGATAAAATACTGTTATTTACAGGCGTATGAGTGTCCCTACTTTCAATGTCTAACAATATGGTTTTGTTATATAACATAGTCCATAATAGAGTTAACAAATGACTCAAGTATATATCAAAAAGCATCCATCTTCAAAAAAAAAACTTCATATACTAGATTGTGGTGGCTTTTGGGCGCAAAGGAGATTTAAACATAGTATTAGAAGGAAGTGGTTAAGCAAAATATATATTTACAGAGAGGTACTACACTACATTTTCTACATATTATTTAGAAAGTATAAATTTGACAAAGATTTTAACAAATTATATTTAATTCCCGCACCATAAGAAACCTTACCTCTAAATTAGTTATATTCACTTTAGAATAACTATTCATACTACGTGGTTATTGAGTAATTTCGGGATAAAGAAGGCTTAAAAGTGAGAATTTTCCCCTTAAAGTTATGGGGGATTGTAGATACCCCTAAATCTAATCAATTTCCCTTTTATATGGGAGTCCCATGGGAGTCCCACGGGAGTCCCGCGGGACCCCCATGGGAGTCCCGTCGAACAGACCAATAAGTAACATATAATAAGTGGGTACTAGCCTATTTATGATGTATCTTCGCGC